TTCATGTAAAGAAGGTAGTTCTGTCTTAACCTGTTGGCTTATCTGTAACTGGCTTCTGATCCAGCATTCTGAAGCGTGTTGTTTTCTCCCCAGTTGGAGACAATTTTCTTTGAAAGAAAAACCAGTTCTGAAGAATACAGGCACTGGACGTACTGCTGGCACAGTCTTTTTGGTTGTCCTTAACATTCTCTGTACAAGCCTCCACTTGTTCTGACTGCAGCTTCCTGTCATTCTCCTTCTGTGTTCCTTCCTGCTTCCTTTGATCATGGCTGTTGTAAAACCTGAGCTGATCAAAGAGCATTATGGTACAACCAGATTGACTTATTTAACTTGGCTCACCTTTCCCCCTCATTTAGGTCCTGTGTAGTGGTAGAATTCTGCTACTTAAAAGTGCCCTATTTTACTCAAGAGTTACTTAGGAAAAAAACTTGGCATTCTGGGAGTTTAGGGTTTGTTGGTGGCCGACGTTCCTTGCCATGGTCTTACCCTCTAGAATGCCAGTCATTTTTACCTAACTCTGCTTTTCCTGGTTGGCCTGAATAAAGTCTCGTTACAGTTTTGATAGATTGAGTTGTCGGCAGAGTTAAGTTGGGGGTCTGTTTTGCAGTAGCATTTGTTTCTGAACCTTGCCTGCTTCCCAGAGGAGGGTAGCGTTTGGCTTGGGCCCAGCATGTGCCTGGGAGCCACTGGCCCTCAGTTTTACTCGTGTGTGGTCAGCAGCCTCTGTGTTGCTGTGTCATCTGACTTAATCTGAATTGAATTCAACCCTTTTCTACAATTAGGCTAAAGAGTCTCACCACCTATTTCTCTTAGTTGAGATGTAGGATTAATGGATTTCTATCTGTAAAGAGTTAAGAAGTTTGTGAGTAAGGCCTCGTATAACATAGATAATTTTGAAACTGCTGTCATGGAAAAAAAAAAAAAGCTCATTAGATGTACTGTGTGTTTAAAGAGTAAGCTCTTATGGGTGAGTAGCATTGGTCACCAGGGTGTCCCGGTGAGTAGCATTGGTCACCAGGGTGTCCCGGTGACCTTAAGAAACCCAGAGGCTGAATGGTGCAGGGCACACACACACATCCACAGAGGATGTTGTGATTGCCACTGCTGGGCATGCTTACATAGTGTCATCTGGAGCTCTGTGCAGGAGGTCTTATTCTGAAATCTGAGGGCTCAGAGATAGCCAAAAGGAAATTTTCCTGCTGATTTAAACCCCTTTGGGTTTTCCAAATCAGGATCTAATGCATTTGCAAAAGCACTGCAGCCACTAATCACTCCTGTGGCCTCATCTGGCCAGCCAGCAACAGGCTGCAAATCGATCTTTGTACAAGGTGTTTGTTTATAATTTATGGAGCTGATAGGAAGGCAGAGCCATCTGCTCCTCCAGGCATCAGTATTTCTTACCCCTCCCATTCCCTGCTAGGGCATTTTCACTTGGAAATCGTTTATAATTAGGAGGCGATTACACTGCAAAGTCTGGAACATGGCTTCCTGCTGTCTCCTGCATCGTTCTCACTCCCCCTGGAGCTGCCCCGCTGAAGCTCTGAAGCGGTTCTGATTTGAAAAATCCTTGCTTTCCTAGCCCTCATTTCCATCCTCATCTTCCCAGCTAACTGCTCCATCATCATTCCCCGCATGTGTCTTGCCTTTCTGTGCAGGGCTGTTTGCTGGAACTCCAGCTCAGGGATCAAGGGGTGTTTGGTGAGGCAGCAGTTTTCAAGTGTGGTCCTAGATCAGCAATATCGGAGACACCTGGGAACTCACTCGAAATACAAATTCTCAGGCCTCACCCCAGCAATCAATCCGGGTGATTCTGGTGCATGCTAACACCTGAGAACCACTGTAGTAAGGCAAGGCAGGAAGCAGAACAAAGATTTCTGGTGGCTTGCGGGTTGCCACTACCCCAGGCTGTATTTCACTTCACCTTTTTCTCCACCTGATTACATTATTGTCGAGTCCAAAAAAGGATGAGCTGTCCTTGTCATTAGTGCATTACTTTCCTATGGCCTGAGAAAACAAATAAGAGGGCCAGGAAATCTCTCCCTGTGTAAATTAACTCATCAAAATTTCAGCCTTCTGAGAAGACGCTGCACGAATGAATTGAAGCAGTGACCACTCACCATTGTAACTGAACATTTCCATTTCCATGTGGGAAATTAATAGACAACAAGCAGCAAATGTAAATTGCTAATTGGAGCTCTGAAATATTAATGAAACTGTAAACACACCACCCAGTGCTTGCTGAAGCTACCAAATCACTCTTTGCCTACCATGTCCCCATCACTAGGGGAGAAGTAAAACCCTGGATCCCTAGCCACACACCAAATTGAGCCTGCTGCTGGAGAAACTCCACTTTAATTCCGGCATTCTCTTTTCACGTGTTATTTGCGTCTCTGTCTGAGCTCACTGCAGGAACTGGCAGCAGTTGTGAAATTGGGTGGGGTTGAGGGGAGGGGACTGAATTTGGGGGCTGGCCATTTAATTGGAATCATCCTTAGACAGTACAGACACAAACGCAGTGGGTTGGATTTGGGGGCTCACAAAATGCTTTTTGTCTATATGCCCAGTTTTTCAGTCAGTTAGAGCCAGACTTCTCAGAAGAAGGAAGACCTTATTTGTAATTTCCTCCCCACCCCCAGCCCACCTTAGAGATTAATCTGTAAGTTGGATAGCATTGCTGACTCAACGGACATGAGTTTGAGCAAACTCCAGGAGATAGTGAAGGACAGGGAAGCCTGGCACACCGCGATCAGCGGAGTCACAGAAGGTTGGACACGACTTAGTGACGGAACTGCAACAATCTAGCAGTGCTTTTCTCATGGTGGTGATGAGTTTTGAGGGTCATTGTAGGCTTCTGTATGTTTAAACTGCAGGTTAACACATATGAACTAGAACTCTGTAACAGCAAGGTAGAAAAGCCTCCTTTCATAAAATACATGCATTTTTGAGACATTAAATGTAGATAAGATGGAAACCATGCAAAGCTGTCTTAAAGCCCACAGAGTCCATTTCCTTCTGTGTTTATTTTCATGTCCTACTTAATATTTGTGATTTACTTTTTCTCTCCACCTTGGATGGTCAGTTTCTTTTTACCTTTCTGAGAACTGTGCCAACATCAAGGTTAGAAAATGAAGATGGACTCACTCTTAAAGCTCCCCCAGTTCCTTTGACTCTGTATCCCCAACTGTAATGCTGTGTCTATTCAGGGAAGGAAGGAGATTGTTTCTGGCAACAGGTTTGGGACCCTGAGTAAGGAGCAGACGGTCTCAGTGCTAACTCGATCGATCTCGCCGCACAGGCCTGAGCAGATGGTGGGTTGGAAGTTGGGCAGCACAGAGCCCTAATGGTGATAGCATTGAGTACTTGGCTGTCATTATTTTGTTAGTGAGCAAACAGAACCACCCTGGTGGTCCCTTCTCAGTGTCACGTGTGCTGGTGGAGTCGGTGTCAGCCCCCAAGAATTGGCACAGTGGCCAATCAGTGTGTTCCGATGTCTTTTTTGATCCACTCTGTCATCTGTGTGGCTTCATTAACAACACACAGAGAAAGGGAGATGAATACAGAGCTTTAGAAATCACTCCCAAGTTCCTGATAAACCTCAACAGCCCCTCCACCCGCCCCTAGAAAGCAGTTCTTTGTTTTCTTTTCCTTAGGGTAATTTCCTGAGGAAGCTCGCCCTTGACATTGGCTCCTGGAGTAGCTCACCTAGAATCTGGTGAGGGCCCTTGAGCTTGCCTGTTGGTTTGTTTTAACTATAATACCTCTGCCAGTGGCTGTTTAAGTAATCTTTCAGTAAGAGAAAGAGGGACTTCCCTGGAGGTCCCATGGTTTACGACTCTGCATTTCCAATGCAGGGAGCACAGGTTTGATCCCTGGTCAGGGAACTAAGATCCCACATCCTCATGGTGCAGCCAAGAAGAATTTTTACGAGAGAGAGAAAGAATAAATTAGTCTCTTTGCACGTGCACATAAGGTAGATCTGAAGGAGACAGAGCCCAGAGGCGCTTGGATGTGCTGTGTGTCCGTTCCCTTCGGATGTTGTTGTGCTGTTCCGCTCATGCCCGTACTGCGGGCACTCTGGTTCCAGGCTCACATCGAGGGTAGACCACTTCCAGAGATGCTCAGAGAGGGGTTCAAATGGGAACTGAGACCCGGTATGCGGGCCCAGTCCCGGAGCTGGCTCACATTGAGTAGGTTCTGTCATGTGGAATGGATTCTCCCCACCAACACAGTCCTCCACCCCGCCCTGCCCAAGCCCTCATGCTGAGCCGGCCTGCCTCCTGGCTGACGGTGCATAATTCTCAGTAAGTGCTAAGTGCAGACTGGAGCTGTCCATGGTCATGGGCTTCTGGCATGGGTGGAGGGACCCACACTCCCAAGAAGAGTGAACAGTTCCAGCCCTCCAACCAGTCTGGGCTTTCTCTTTATCCTCTCTTGTGGAATTAGGGATTAGTATCAGCAAGGAGCTGTCCAGAAGACTGAAGTCTCTAAATGCTCCAGTTTTCTTAAAGGAGAAAATAAGACACAAATTTGTGAAATGATTTCCTTCTCCAAGGTCAGATAGAGGTGGAGAGTAGCATTCTCACCCCCAAGCAAGTTTTACCTGTATCACCTTTTTCTTAGAATCAGCAGGTTTACATTTTCATTCATCTCAGTTTTGATCTTTTGGACAATAACTGCTGTTGAGTGGCTCTTCAGGGACAGTTTTTAATAACTTTCTCCTTATCTCACAAATGTTTTCTCTTAAGTGTGAGTTAGGACTCAGTAGGTGGTTGTGGTGTATTGACTGTAGTTTCCTATTACGGGGGTAGAAGAGATATCTTTTCAGTGTCTTGTGTTGCTTGTTTCGTGACATTTTAGTAGGATAAGGCAGCCTTCAGTATTTCTGGAGAGGGTTCGGATTCGGGCCCTTAGGGAGACACCCCCGAATGTCTTGACCCAGCATTTTTCACACCATTAACTCCAGACTTCCTTACCCTCTTTTCTTTCTTTGTCTGATGCAGCCTCCGTGAATGTGCTGGTGCAGAACTGCAAGATCTACAATGATGCCAGCTGTGACATTTCTGCAGATGGCCAGCTCCTGGCAGCATTCATCCCTAGCAGTCAGAGGGGCTTTCCTGACGAAGGCATCCTGGCAGTGTACTCCCTGGCGCCCCATAACCTGGGCGAGATGCTCTACACCAAGCGGTTTGGTAAGGGATGGGAAGCCCAGCATAGTGACACATGGTACCTCGCCCTGGCATTCCCTGGTGAGGCACCACTTAGGTGGGAGTGATGGTCACATGCTACCCCCTGCTTCACAGGCACAGGTCAGAGGAAGCTACTCTGTCCTAGCTGGTAGTGTTGCAGGAGAGTCCTCCCCACCACCGTGGCATCACCGGCATACTCCCGTTGTGAGGGGCGAGAGTGGGGGAGGAGCTCTGTTCTTGGTCATGGCTCGGGGAAGTGGGCACACTCACACGCTGCAAGCCAGTCTGGCATTGTGTCGATTTATGTACAAGGGTGTTCACAGCGGTGTTATTTGTCACAGAGAAAAATGTCAAATTCTGAAGAGTTGCTTAAATAAATGATGGTGCATTGACAAGACAGAATACCATTTGGCCTTTAAAACGCTCTTACAGAGGAATATTTAATGGGGAAAAATGTTTGTAATGTATGAAGTGAAAAAAGTGGAATTCAAAATAGCAGTTACAGTATGATGATAATTTTTAAATGTGATTCTGTGCTAATACAGGTTAGCATTCCTTAAGTACTCTTTATATGTCAAGAGCTAGACGTAGTACTTTACACACCTTCTCATTGTGCTCCTCACTGCCGTCCTGTGAGATTAACCCCAGGATGACCAAACAGAGATGAAGAGCAGGGAGAGAGAAGAAAGACTGCAGGAAGATTATTTGCTGGTAATCTTGAGAGCTTTAGGCAACGCCTCTCTGTGCTTCTGGCCCTCAGGTCCCAATGCCATCTCGGTGAGCCTGTCCCCGATGGGCCGGTACGTGATGGTGGGCTTGGCCTCGCGGAGGATCCTGCTGCACCCCTCCACGGAGCACATGGTGGCCCAGGTCTTCCGGCTGCAGCAGGCACACGGGGGCGAGACCTCCATGAGGGTGAGTGCCTTGCTCGTGGCTTCGCCGCGTGGTGGTTCTCCTCGGCCTGCCGGCAGAGCAGTGCAAGCCAGAGGTGTGGTCCCCCAGCCAGGACCGGAGGCATCACGCCTATACGGAGCCAGGAAGGACTCTAGTCCGGCCTAGTCGTGACCAGCCAGCCTCACTTTTGGATGCTCTGGGCCATTAAAAGGCAGTCTTTCTCATACCCTAAATCACAAGCTGGGGCCCCAGAGGCCTGAAGGGATCTTGGGATAGAGACCAAACTGAATACGTCCTTTCAACTTGAGACCTGTAGTCTGGAGATACATAAAGAACCCAATGAAATATTTATGTCTTTTTGTTTTTTAATTTTTGAGGAGGCAGGCTATAAAAAGAGATAGGTAGTATACTATGAAATGTTCCTTTCCTGAGGCTGTAATCACAGTGGGAGATGTGGACTCTGCGAAGCTGCCATGCTCCTAACTGTCCCATCCATCCACCAGCAGGGAAAGGTGGTGTTTAGAACCTGCTCTTGTCTGAAACCGTCCTCTGTGTATCGCCATAAAAGCCTCTGGGCATCATGGGGTTAGTGACCTCCTGGACTCAACCAGTCTAGCTTCTGACTGAGATTCCCACATCCCACGGGGGCTCATTTGGCCAGGATTTTGTCAAGGGGAATTGAGCATTTGAACAGTTCTCTAATTAGATGGTATTTAAGCTCTGTCTCGAGCTAAGAACCTGTGAATTCCCCTAGCACTGTGTGCTGTGCCACTTATAGTTTTATGCTCTTGCTTATGTGTTGTTTCATGTTTTCTTTAGCTGTGTGGTATGTCTGTTTAATCCACCCAATTAGGTTCACTGTAAGCTCCGAAGGGGCATATCCCCCAGGGCCGCTCATTTAGTGCCACACATGTAGATGCTTGTGGAATTCAGGCTGGAATCTGAAGCATTGGTTTAAAGAAAAAGCCTGAAGACAGGACCCATGATACACAGAGCAGTGGAAAGCAGGTGGCCAGGCGTGGCATCTCCAGCCTCTTCTCACTCCAGTTCTGCAGGGAGGAAGCCCTGCTCTGCTGAGCCACTTTCCAAGCCCTGGAGCCAATAAGGCCTTCTCCTGCCTGGGTGCCTTTATCTGGAGTGTCCTCTTCTCCCCGAAACCCAACTGCGTGCAGGCTGCTTCCCTGCTGTGGAATCTTCGAATCAGGGTTGATCACTCCCCTGTATGGAGCACACTGTCTGTGTTAACACTCGTCACACCAAACTGCCATTCCATGTCTCCATGTCATTCTCCTCTCTTGGCCCAGGAGCTCGTTGAGAATAGAGACCCTGTCTGTTTCACCTTTGTGAAGTCCAAGTACCTAATGAGGAACCTGATATTTAGGAGAAGCTGAGGGAATAAAAGAGAATCTTAAGAAAAGCATCCTTATCATTTCCAGCTTGTCACTAGCAGGACCAGTGAAGGGTGATTTCATGTGCCAGCATGCCTCTGGCAAGGGTAGAAACGAGGCATTGTCTGCTTTTGACATCATAATGACAGGAAAGTTCTGATTCTTGAATTCCCTGTGACTGGAAATGTTTGACATTGAATGACTGGGAGGGGACTTTGCGGAAGTTCATCAAGCCTGTTTTCTTACCTAGAGAAATGAGGATGGAAGGTGAACTTTAAATATTCTTATGTTAAGCAGATTTGGTTGGTAAAAGTACCTGGTGTCTGCTTTTCACCACCTAGAGTCTTGGTCCTTGCTGTTCTTCTTACCCTTCCTGCCCAACTATGGAATAACGGTTTCTAATCAGTAAGAGACTGGAGCAGTAATGGACATCTCCAACCTCTTCCAGAAGCCAGGGCTCCTGCCCAACTTTTGGGCACAGCCTGCCATCCTAGCAAGGTTCCTCTCTTCCATAAGTAGCCAGAAGCACCTGGCTGAAGGCAGACAGCTCCAGAGTGGAAGCCAAGATGCTGTCCCAGATGGGGCCCACCGCGTAGGGGGTGCAGTTGGAGTCTGCTGTGGAGATGAGGGGCGCAGGGCACCTAGCCAGCTGCTGCGTGCATGACAGGAGCTGCTTGTCAGGCCTCCCGGGCTTGTCAGGCTTTCGATTCTTGACAGGCCTCACCTGCTGCTTAGCAGGGGCTTCCCCGGTGACTCAGTGTTCAAGAATCCACCCACCCATGTGGGAGACGTGGGTTCGATGCCTGGGTTAGGAAACTCCCCAGAGTAGCAAATGGCAAGCCACTCCAGAATTCTTGCCTGGAAAATTCCGTAGACAGGGGAGCCTGGTGGGCTACAGTCCATGGGGTCGCAAAAGAGTTGGACACGACTGAGGATGCCCACACCACTTAGGAGAGGAGCTAAGTAATTTGAAAGTTCTCATTTGGGAAGTGTTTCCCTCACATAGGAGGCAGGATCTGGGCTTCTCAGCAAGGTTTTTGCTTACCCTGTGTCCACCCAGTCTGACTTTAAGCCCCCGTACTAGAGAAAGGTTTCTGGTTTTCCAGGTCTCGGTTGCCCCTTACGACTGAAGACAGCAAAGCACTCAGCACATGTCCCTGAATTCAGTACCCGGTGGGAGGGAAGACACCAGCTTTTTTGGATAGCTGTGCTGTACCACCATTTAAGGCAAGAAGTGCCATTTTTGTCTGAGAACAGGGAGCAAGGGTTTAATGGACAATAGAGGCTCGCCCTCTTTGCACAGATAAGTGTAGATGAGTGTCTGCATCCGTCATGTCCAGCTCTGTCCGTGAAGGGGTTGTGGGCACTGGGCCTGTCCTGGAGCTCCTCTGTCAGGTCCCCCTTCTCCGTGGTGTTAGCTCTTGGAATTCACTGTGTTAACGTTGAGAGGTGAAATTGTTGGGCCAACAGATGTTCCTTGGAGAACATCCCCAAGAACATTGACTTAGGTTAATTCCCACTGAGGGACTCTCTCTCCTCAAGAGATGATCCCTTACCCAATTGCATATGAAAACTGTGAAAATGAATTGCTAATTGCTCTTAGCCTGGGTGCACTTATTAACAGCAGGTTCTTTAGACCTGTGGATCAGTGCTTCTCAAACTGTGCTCCTTGGACAACCTGCATTAGAATGCACGGGGTCCTGGTTAAAATACAGGCTCTACTTCAGACCTAAAATCAATAAGAATTGGACGGGGAGGGGACCAGGTATTTGTGTCTGTCAAACAAGCTTCCAGATGATCTCATATGCACTTGAGTTTGAGAACTGCTGTTCTTAATGACTGCTTTCTTCATTTTGGGTTTCTGCCTCTTCAGCAAGGCAGAGCCAGCCTCAGGTTCCGGTCTTACTGTGGTTTTGTGCATGGCGCTTGATCCTTTGCTGATTTTGTTGGAGGCACAGTGGCGTTTGTGTTCTGTTTCCTATCAGACTCTTAGCTGTTTGTCTGTCCATGCTTCACCTCCCATCTTTTCTCAGCTGTAATTGCTTTCCAGGGTTCTCCCTTGAATATCTCTATGTGCTGAATTCTTTTCTTCCCCATGTTGAGTTTAATTATTATCCTTGTTTCTAGGATCTACGGTCCTCAGACATTTGCCTTCTCTGCTTAATAAGGCTAGGCTTAGTCTTCCCAATTTTAGGATCATTGGCAAATCAGGAGAAGTAAGACTGGATGCCTGTTCTGTCTGTCCCTTCCCTCTGTCCAGTTGAGCCCCCTCCAGGCTGGATATGCTGTTGTCCATGCTTCAGGGCCTCACTTGCCGCCTGACTCCCTCACACTTGAGCCAGTGGGGCTTTTTGTTAATTTCTGTTTTGTTTCTAAGTTAGACATTTAGGGATTGCTGAGCTGAAGTTTTGCTGAATTCTCAAAACACTCAACTGCCTGAGTTCCCTCTCTGCTTTCGTTTCCTAATTGGAAGAGAGCACAGTGTTGTAACTGAAAACAGCGATTAATTTTCTCAAATTGTGGCAACTTGCACAGAGTAATAACTCTGGTTGTAACCAAGTGAAAGCATAAAATAACAAAAATATAAAATTACTAAGGAACCCAGAAATAGTCATATAGCAAACTGCTCTTCCAGTTTGCATGGGTAATGAGTGCTGCTTTACCTGGGAATGGGGGCAAGAGTCAGCGGTGGGGGGCGGGGGCAGGCAGTGCTAGGGTGGTTTGAGCTAGAAAACAAGAATGTTTCGTGGTTTCCACACAGGAATTAGCAGGTGTTATGCTTCTCCTCCCAGATGCACAGACCACCCCCTCCCCACAGCAGGTGGGGGTGGTAGGCATGTAAGTGGTTTAATGAGAAGGGACAGGGCTTCTCATCCCAAAACCCCTGCTTCTCCCAGGGGGCACTGGCCGCTTGGCTCTCACCAGCGCCGGTTTGCTTTCGTCTCTGATCGCTTTTTGGGGGGCGGCAGGAGTGATGGACGAGGGACTTGAGTGGGAGAAGTGAGCCCTGGGACGGAGAGCAGTTTAGCTCTCCTTTCTCCCTGAAACAGCATCGTGCTCTGTAAGGCAAAGCCTCCAATAACTTAAGGGCCAATTTTATTGAAAGCTTTTTCTTTGTGGCCATGTGGTGAATCTGTATTCAAGGGTTGAGCATCCATTACCCAGACAGATGGTTAGTTTGGAGGGGGTGTTGGGAAGAGAGAGCCTGCCCTTCCCTCCCTTCACCCCTGTCTCTCTCCCTTCCTCCTGCTTCTCCCCTACTCGCCGCCTTCCCTCTGCTCTCCCACCGCCCCAGGCCGCTTCTTAACCCTGCGAGTTCTGCTCTTCTGTGCTGGACTGTCCCCGGGTGTAACGTCTCCCTCGAGCGCGCCAGCTCCACACATACACACACATCCCCCAGGACTTTCCTGGTGGTCCAGTGGTGAGGACTACATGCTTCCACTGCAGGGGGCTTTGGAACTAAGATCTCACATGCCTCAGAGTGTTACCAAGAAAAAAAAACACGGAAAGATAAGCACACACCCCCCCCTTCATCCTCAATAGTTCCTAGGCAGCAGAAAAGGAAGGCAGGCTTTTTAGACCTGCACCCTACTCATATCTAACTGGGCAGTGGGTCTCAGTGTGTATTCCCAG